CTACTGGAGCTGCTGACCAAAACTTGGATCTGTGAAAAAGAGCACAGAGTGTAGCATCAGCACAACCGACCCCATGTGCTGGTAAGTGCCTAGCCTAACCTCGGCGAAGTAGTGACGAGGCTAGGACCAGACTACCAGATAAACCTGTGCAGTTCAAATATATACATACGACGGAAAGAAATACGGGAAGTAAACAGTCAATAACGGAAGGGGGAACATGTTATGGGGAGGCAACAGTTACAATTAGGAAAGCACAATATAAAGGTAGAAGCAGCCAAAGCATTTACAACGAATCAAGAAACGAATACTCCAACTAAACACACTTGAATCAGCAACTGTTGCGGCGTGCAACCCGATCCTCAATATCATTGTTGCGGCGTGAAACCCGACCCTCAAATATCATTGTTGCGGCGTGCAACCCGATCCTCAATATCATTGTTGCGACGTGCAACCCGACCCTCAAATATCATTGTTGCGGCGTGCAACCCAACCCTCAAATATCATTTAGCATTGTTGCGGCGTGCAACCCGATCCATATCATTTATCACTGTTGCGGCATGCAACCGGATCCACCAATATCATTCTTTCTCATCCGAACAACGGTCACAAATACGGGGCAAAAAAGCAAACAAACAATGGCAAAAAAAAATCCCGGCAAGGGAATACAATAAAGCAGTCAGATCCCGGCAAGGGAACAATATCAATAAACTCAATATCCCGACAAGGGAGAAAGACAACAACCAACAAAACGACCCGGCGAGGGAATAACCAATAGCCATCTCTTTCTTTCGTATCTTACATTATAATTCACTTCATCATTCGAGCCAATGCTCCGGAGAATCAAATAATCATAATGTCTTTCATACATTCTTTACAATATATAGGAATTCTCAGTTAAGCATGGAAATTTCAACAAATCATGATAATCGCATTTTAAGGACTCACGGTCATGCTAGACACCAATGTATAGATACTCGTCACCATGCCTATGCACCGTACTCGACAATTAGCAAGTAGCAAACAACACTCAACTCCTATTCCCTCAAGCTAAGGTTAGACCAAACACTTACCTCGAACTTCCATGGCCAATTCAATCCTCAATTACCGCTTTTCCTCTCGAACTCGGCTCCCACTCAATCAAATCTATACAATAATGATTCCACAGTATCAATATATGAACCCAATTCATAAATTTGGATTTCTAAGCTTTCTTCTCAAAATTCCAAAAATCGACCCCGGGCCCGCTTGGTCAAAACACGAGGTTCGAACCAAATTCATATCACCCATTCTCCTATGAGCCCGAATATACAATTTGCTTTCAAATTCGACCCCAAAACGAGGTCTAAATCAAGAAAAATTGAAAAGCCCTAACTCTACCCATTTTCCCCAATTTCAACCCTAGATTACATGATTTGAGCTTAGGAATTTGATAAATGATGATGGAAAATGAAGGAGACAAGTTAAACAATACTTACCCAAGAAGCTTTGATGAAGAAATGCCCTAACAATCGCCTAGAAGCTTTGGAGAAGAAATGGTTTGTGTATTTTTTGAATAAAACCCGTCACTGTTCTGTTTTTATGACTTAAAAATCGCTAGGTGAAAATACTCTATGCGTTCGCGACATGGGGTTCGCGTTCGCGATGAGTAGGGTCAGACAGGCATCGCGTTCGCGGGAGTAGGGGTGCGAACGCGAAGGAGGAAATACTGGGGTCCAAGGAGTTTGGCCTACGCAAACGCGTTGGCCTATATGCAAAACGCGATGGGAAGGGGGCTGGAGAGCTATGCGAACGCGGTCCAGCCATCGCGAACGTGAAGAAGGAAGGAGGGATGGGCCCTCGAAACTCGATAACTCTACGCGATCGCGGTGAAGGGATGTGAATGCGAAGGATGGAGGAATCTGAAGCTTCGCGAACCCGAAGGAGATACCGCGAACGCGATGAAGGAATTTACCGTGCACCTGTTGCAGATTTTCTGCAATTTCACTAAGTTCTAAAACCTCCCGGAACACCTCCGAAACACTCCCGAGCCCTCGGGGCTCCTAACCAAATATACACACAACCTCAAAAACATCCTACGGACTTATCTGTGCGATCAAATCGCCAAAATAACATCATATACATCAAATCAAGCCTCAAAACTCATGGTTTTCCTTGAAATTTTCATAAAGCATCAAATTTTCATTTTAAGTCCGAAACACGTCAAACGACGTCCAACTTCAACCAAATTTTACATAAAGCGCTTAAACCATATATAAGACTTGTACCGGGCATCGAAACCAAAATACGAGCCCGATATCACAGTCTTTTAATCAAATTTTATTTCCAATTTCCTTAATAATTTCAGAAAAACAATTTCACAGAAAAATTCATTACTCGGGCTCTAGACCTCGGAATTCGACTCCGGGCATATGCTCGAGTCCCATATTTTTCTACGGACCCTCCGGGACCATCAAATCATGGGTCTGGATCCGTTTACCAAAAATATTGACCGAAGTCAAATATATTCATATTAATATCAAAATTTAGCGTTTTTCACACAGAATTCATACACTACTAAAAAATGGTTCTAATGGAACGGTTATTTTGTAACGGTTAGAGAACTGTTACAATAAATTATGTATTGGAACGGTTTTAATCGTCCCAATAGAGTCATAGGGCTTTTGGGACACTTATGAAGCAAAACCGTTCCAATAGCACTGTAACCGTCGCCATAAATAAATGTATGAAGACAATTTATAAAGGCGATACAATAGTGTTATTTATGTGAACGGTTTGGTGAAATAAAATATATATTGGGATGGTTTATTTTTCCCTCCCTACTTTCCCTCCTACATATTTATTAAAAAATCAAAAAAATAATAGATGACCCCACCAAATTTTTATACTAAGTCTTTAATTTATTTTGTAAAGTTAGAAAACGCATTTCATCTCTCTGTCATCTCATCATCAGCCCTTTCGCCTCTCTCTCTCTCTCATAGTCTTAAACCTAGAAAAAATCGTCATCGGCGAACTGTGCAGCTTGCTCCGACGAAGGAAGATCTATTCCGACGAAGGACAACCATTTCGACTAATATAAGGGAATCTCAGATGTAGGTTGTCGGTATTTTTCCTTTGTTCGATATTTTCTGTGGTTGTTCGATGTTCGCTATTGTTTCGTCGGATAATTGTTTCACTTCTTCTTATGTTTTCTTTCTCTGGTAAGATTCTGATAAATCCGTTAATTTACTCTGTCCCTTGTTTGTAGTGTATGCTAAATTTTGTGGTTTCTAGTTTGTAAAATTGGGGGTTTAGTGGGTGGATTTTGATAGATGAAAGGGCTGTTGAAAATAGATTAATTTCATGTTTAAATCTTTTTAAAGGTAATGATTCGGAAAATTAAACCATTGTTAAAACAACTAGTTCATACAGATAAGTTGATTGGGGTTTAGTTGGGGGTTAAGTATTGACTTTTTCTAAGTGGCTTTTTTTTCTATCTTTCTTATTATCTGATTTTTTTTATTAAGAGTAATAAGCCAATTTTATACTGGTTGTTGTGGTGCCATATAAGATAAAACTAATTTAATGGATAACGGAGATAAAAGATGAATGGACCTTCGAAGGTCAACTGATGAGTACATACAAAGAGTGAATAAACTTTTTGATAAAGCATTTGAATGAGCTTCCCAAGGAAATAAAATATTATGCCCTTTTAAAGAGTGCGCTAATTGTTTTTGGCATCATAGGAATAACAACTTCTTATACTTGTGCCTTTCAAGCATAGAATAACAACTTCTTTCCTTTCAATATTTACAGAGGGGAGAAGGCATTTTGTCGTACGAAGTGTCGTTGCACACAAATATTGATCGATGAACACAAAGAGAAATGTGGTTCTGGAGCAATGAAATCGCTTGGCGACTGCTCTGTCTCTCCTTGCTCTGTCTCTCCTTGCTCTGGCGCAATGCAGTTTTTCACTGGCGTGGCCATGGCTTAACAACTGAAAATTATATGGTACCTTCAACTTTACATAAATAAATAAATAAAAGGGGCGATATATATAAGTTTCGAAAGGTATCCCGAATAAAAATTGGTACCCACTGGCTTAAGAAAGATGTTAGATTTTTATGTTAAGGATGTTCTGAGCATGAAATCTATGCTACTTGAAGAGTAGGAAAAAACATTCTGGGAAAAGCATGTAATGAAGTTTGTTAGAAATTACTTAGTGAAGAGGGTAATCTGCCGCAAGGCACATAGACGGATTCACATAGCAATTCCAAATGTTACATTTTAAATATATGGTTATGAGGTTGGAATACTATATTGCACTTATCGGTATGAAGTTGGAATCCAAAAATGTACTTTAGTCTCAATTCGTCTAATTAACTTGTGTGCACCGGCGTTGTTCAATTTTTAATCAGATTAAAATTAGTGACTAATAGCTAGTATCTTATATAGTAACTCAAAGATCCAGTTACTAACTTGTTCTCTAATTAGTTGGAAAAAATTGTTATTCTATGCTTGAAAGGCAGAAGGAAATCAATTTTTTGTTCTTGTGTATGCTCTTGGAGTTTTTAGTTTGTTTCAGTTCCAAGCTTTTGTAATATGCTAAGTACTTAAAACTATAGTCTGATACATGAAGCTATTTTAATATGTTATAAAGCTTAGTTTGTTTCATTCGAAGCTTTTATAATATCCAAACAACTTTTGTTTTAAATTTTCAGTTCTTGCGTATGACCTTTGGCCTTTGAACTCCATTTGCCATATTCAACACTGAGAACCTCGAATAAGGTATAATCTTTTGTTTCTGTTTTCATTTTTCATGAAGTTTGATTTGCCTTAATTAATGAAACCTTTAGCATCATGTATGGCAACTGTATAACTAGTTTGTTTTAAAGATTGCCTAGACTTTTGCGGTGGTTGCGTATTAAGTATTCAAATTAAAGTTGAGTAAATTACTGGCAACCAATTCTTCAGTAATTAATTTTTCAAGTGCATGTACTTTTATCTTATGGTCAACTATTTTGCAAGGAGGGCCATTCTGGACTAGCAAGGAGCTATTATGAAATGAAGATACAACATACACGACTGGTTTCAGATGCCTATAATGCTAGCATTGGTTTCGGTAAGCTTTCTATCCAGCTTTCAATATGTGTAGGGGTTAATTTATCTTTATATTAAAGTTGATATGTACATCAGTACATGTTATTGGTTGGAATGATCTGAATCAAAAGCAGTGCTAGTGGCAACTACTTAATAAAATCTGAGATGTGAAAAACTGAAGTAGCAAAACACTAGAGTGCAATCATTGAGACTCTTAACCTTGAGTCATCAAAACCCATTCTGATTTTAGTCTAATCTGGTCCCTCTACACGATTGGTGGAAGCTTTAATTACTGAATTTCTCCCCAACAGTCTATTACAGGTTCGTTTAGATCTGATTCTAATTAAATGTTAATAGAATTTCTATCTCCCAATCTGTAATCACTTGCTCCCAGAGTGAACTATTAAAGAACAGTTCATCCCTTTATTCAGGCTAGACCGATCACATCTCCTTAGCAAAGCCATAAGACCTTTGGCCGTATTCTAGTTTGACCTTTAGAATTCATGTGCGTATTTTATCTGCTGCTGTTCTGGAGATGTTCTCACTATCTTCATCCATATTATCAAACTTCCTTATATATGAATATGATTTAACTTAGCTGGAATGACAGTGGATAGATAGCATTCATTTCACAGATGTTTGAACTATTTGAACAATTAACGATGGGGGTAGATTTTTGTATTATTACGCTTTGAGGGTACAACTGTTAGAGACTGTTGCAAAAACTGAGGTTTTGTTTGATAATGCTAGATATCGGATTTGGTTAAAAAATTGTTCAAAAACTTTTTTGCCGTCTTGAGGGAACATCACCCTCCAAGTATGGTTTCTGCAGTAGTATCGATAATGTCACAAATAAATGGAACAGAGTATAGGAGGAAAATGTCTAGTCGTTTGTATTTATGGACTTTCAGTAAGAAAATTAAATTGGTAGTATGCGGATTGATTTCTCAAATGACTACTTTGTCTTCAGCAGAAGCTCTAACTTTGCCTTCTGGACTAATATTCTTCTAACTATGTTTGATTAAAAGCAAAGGGAATGAAGAAAATTATTTTCTGCATCTATAAATATTCCAGCCCCTCCCCAACGAGGAATGGTGGATGACCTTTGTTCTCCAATGAATTTTATATCAAGCAACGAATATATGTTGTATATATACTCTGGAATTGCTTGTGACTGTAGAATACACTAATTAACCTTAGAAAAATCATCTAACATCGCATCTAAAATTTGTAAAACACAATGACATAAAAGAATTCATTAGTTCTGAAAAATATGGTTCACTAGATGTGGTTCTGCAGAATATGAGGACTATATGTTCACTTTATCAAGGTCTCAGTGAAACCAACCGTTAGTTTTAAAGTTTCTATTTGGTATTCTGTTAAATAGACTAAAAGTGCTCAACTTTAATAAAGTTAAAGGACGATTAGTGCTCAAGGTGATATATAAAGGACAAAGTTAGATCTATAGCTAAAGATAAGGGACAGTTTTAGCTAAAAACTCTTCTATTTTCTGTATCTTCCTTTCTGAACTTATAAAACTTTAATTAAGGACTTAAGTACTCCTAAAACTTCATCTTTCTTTCTTATCATGAACTAAATATTAGGCTGACCAGTGTTATTAGGTGCAGTTGGCCATGCCCTGTTGATAATATTGTGGATGGCACATCGATAGTTGATGTAAGGATGGATATTAGGTTCTGCTAGTTGTATTTGCAAATGATGTTTTGAGCAGGTTGAAAATTTTGGGATAGTCATATTTACAAAGGAAACTCCCGAAAAATTTAAGAATTTAGAGAGAATAAAAATTTTCGAGTTAATATCAATTGGTCATTCAATTACTTTATGATTCAATTATCTTAAAAATGTTATTTAATTATTTCTCATTATCTTTTGTAGGTGCAGTGATTGCGGATGAAAGCAGTGACGAAGACCTTACTTGAGTGTTGTTGTTGATTGTTGTTAGGCTTTATTATTATGTTTAAGGATATTTTAGTTTAGAACTTTTTGTATGCAAACTCAACTATTTTGAGTTTTGAATTATTTGACCAAACATTGTATCCATATTTTATTTTTGTACATGATAATGCTACTTGGATATGGTGTAAACAATTTCATAGAATAGGAAACTATTTCTCATTTTGCTTCCATAAATATCAGAAATTATAATTTGTTGCAATAGAGAATATAACCGTTCCAATAGACCTAGCAAATAATAAGAGCAACCCCTAATAACTGTTCCAATAAGTTATAATATCCGTTGCAATAGAGTACTGATAATTGTTCCAATATACCATGAAAACCGTTGCAACATATCATGAAAACCGTTGCAACAGCCTTAAAAAAATCAGCTGTATTAGTTTACCAGGACGGTTTATAACCGTCCCAATAGAAAATAAACCGTTCCTGTAGATAGAACAAGGTAGCAATCCAAAACCGTTACAATATCCCTATCTATGGAGACGGTTTATGAACCGTTGCAAACAACCGTTCCAATAGACCTATTGTAACGCTGAATCCCGAAACGGGTCAACATCCGTCCCAATAGCCCTATAAGGACGGTTAGCAGATCTATTGCAATGGTTTTCGAAGGGTTGCCATAGCTTCAATTTCCAGTAGTGATATTTAAGCTTTCCGGCTACGCGCCCGGACTGCGCACGCAAATCGAGGCAACCTTAAATGAGGTTTTCGAGGCCTCTGAAGCACGAAATGAATAAGAAAATAGGTGATGACCCCTTTGGGTCGTCACATTCTCCGCCTCTAAAACAACCGTTCGTCCTCGAACGGACAAAAGAATGAAGTACCTGAGTCGGGAAATAGATGAGGATAACGGCTCCGCATATCAGACTCGGACTCCCAGGTCGATGCCTCAGGGGGCTGACCTCTCCACTGAACACGAACAGAGGGAAACTCTTGGATCTCAACTGACGAACCTACCGATCTAGAATAGCTACCGACTGCTCCTCATAAGATAAATCCCTGTCCAACTGGACAATGCTGAAATCTAACACGTGGGCTGGATCGCTGTGATACCTCCGAAGCATGGATACATGAAAAATTGGATGCACGGCTGATAAGCTGGGCGGCAATGCAAGTCTATAAGCCACCTCTCCCACTCGATCAAGAATCTCAAACGGACCAATGAACCTAGGGCTAAGCTTGCCCTTCTTCCCAAATCTAATCACGCCCTTCATGGGCGACACTCGGAGCAATACTCGCTCACCAACCATGAAAGCTACATCTCGAACCTTACGATCTGCATAGCTCTTTTGCCTGGTCTGAGCCGAACGAAGCCTATCCTAAATGATCTTGACCTTGTCCAAGGCCTCCTGAACCAAATCCGTACCTATCAACCGAGCCTCTTCCGGCTCAAACCACCCAATCGGAGACCGACACCGCCTACCATATAAAGCCTCATAAGGAGCCATCTGGATGCTCGACTGGTAGCTGTTGTTGTAGGCAAACTCCGCTAAAGGCAAGAACTGATCCCACGAGCCTCCAAAATCAATAACACAAGCCCGGAGCATATCCTCTAGAATCTGAATAGTCTGCTCGGACTGACCGTCCGTCTGGGGATGAAATGATGTGCTCAACTCGACCCGTGTGCCCATCTCTCACTGAACTGCTCTCCAGAAGCGCGAGGTAAACTGCATACCCCGGTCCGAAATGATAGATACGGGCATACCATGAAGGCGAACAATCTCCTGAATGTAGATCTCAGCCAACCTCTTAGAAGAATATGAGACTGCCACAGGAATGAAATGTGCTGACTTGGTTAGCCTATCAACAATAACCCATATCGCATCGAACTTCTTCCGAGTCAGCGGAAGTCTAGTAACAAAGTACATAGTAATCCGCTCCCATTCCACTCAGGAAGCTCAATCCGCTGAAATACACCACCAGGCCTTTGATGCTCGTACTTAACCTGCTGACAATTCAAACAACGAGCCCCATATGCTACAATATCCTTCTTCATCCTAAGCCACCAATAATGCTGCCGCAAATCCTGATACATCTTCGCGGCGCCCGGATGAATAGAGTACCGGGAACTATGGGCCTTCTCTAGAATCAACTCTTGAAGCCCATCCACATTAGGCACACAAACTCGCCCCTGCAATCAAAAAACTCCATCCGCATCTAAGGTAACCTGCTTGGCACCTCCTCGCTGCACCGTGTCTCTAAGGACACACAAATGGGGATCATCAAACTGCCGATCACAGATACGCTCCAATAATGAAGAACGAGCAACCGTGCAAGCTAACACACGACTGGGCTCAGAAACATCCAGTCTCACGAACTGATTGGCTAAAGCCTGAACATCCAAAGCAAGCGGCCTCTCACCGACCGGAATATAAGCAAGACTGCCCATACTGGCTAACTTCCTACTCAATGCATCGGTCACCACATTGGCCTTCCCTAGTTGATATAGAATGGTGATGTCATAATCCTTCAACAACTCCAACCACCTCCTCTGCCTCAAATTCAACTCCTTTTGCTTGAACAAATACTGAAGACTCTTGTGATCAGTGAACACCTCACATGCCACGCCATACAGATAATGCCTCCAAATCTTCAATGCGTGAACTATGGTTGCCAACTCCAAATCATGAACCGGATAGTTCTTCTCATGAATCTTCAACTGCCGCGAAGCATAGGCAATTGCCTTTCCATCCTGCATCATTACTGCACCAAGTCCAATACGAGATGCACCACAATAAACTGTATAAGGCCCGGAACCTATGGGCAAAACCAACACCGGTGCCGTAGTCCAAGCTATCTTGAGCTTCCGAAAGCTCGCCTCGCACTCGTCCGACCATCTGAACTGGGCACCCTTCTGGGTCAACCTGGATACTCTCTGCTGACACAACATGACCCAGGAATGCAACTGAACTCAACCAGAACTCACACTTCGGAAACTTAGCGTACAACTGACTATCCCTCAAACTCTGAAGAACCACTCTAAGATGCTGCTCGTGCTCCTCTCGACTGCGGGGAATATATCAAAATATCATCATGAAGACTATCACGAACGAATCCAAATAAGGCCTGAACACTCGGTTCATCAAGTCCATGAAAGCTGCTGGGGCATTTGTCAACCCGAATGACATAACCAAGAACTCATAATGCCCGTACCGAGTGCGGAAAGCTGTCTTAGGGACATCGGATGCCCTAATCCTCAACTGACGGTAGCCAGATCGCAAGTCCATATTTGAAAATACCTTGGCACCCTGAAGCTGATCAAACCAATCATCAATCCTCGGCAATGGATACCTATTATTGATTGTAACCTTGATCGATTGCCGGTAATCAATACACATTCTCATTGAGCCATCCTTTTTCTTCACAAATAACACTGGCGCACCCCAAGGCGAAACACTGGGTCTAATGAAACCCTTCTCAAGCAAATCCTGCAACTGATCCTTAAACTCTTTCAACTTTGGCGAGGCCATGCGATACAGCAGGATGAAAATGCGCTGAGTGCCCGGAGTCAGATCAATACAAAAGTCGATATCCCTGTTGGGCGGCATACCCGGCAGGTCTGAAGGGAAAACCTCAGGGAACTCCCGAACAATGGGAAGAGAATCAATAGAAGGGACCTCTACGCTGGAGTCGCGAACATACGCCAAATAAGCTAAACACCCCTTCTCGACCAGGCATCGAGCCTTCACATATGATATAACACTACGGGTGGCATGACTTGGGGTCCCTCTCCACTCCAAATGGGGCAAATCTGATAAAGCTAAGGTCACGGTCTTGGCATGGCAATCCAAGATAGCATGATACGAGGACAACTTATCCATCCCTAATATAACGTCGAAATCCACCATGTCTAAGAGCAACAACTCAACACGGGTCTCAAGACCCCCAAACACTACAACACAGGAACGATGAACTCGGTCGATCACTATAGAATCACCCACCGGTACATACACATAAACAAGAATACTCAATGCATCACTAGGCATAACCAGGTACGGTGCAAAATAGGATGACACGTACGAATACGTAGACCCTGGGTCAAATAGCATTGAAGCATCTATATCACAGACTAGAATAGTACCTGTAATGACATCGTCTGATGACTCGGCCTCTGGCCTGGCTGGAAGAGCATAACATCGGGGCTAGGTCCCACCTCCCTGAACCATATCTCTGGGACGATCGGCTGCTGGCTGGCCTCTACCTCTGGCGGTCTGAGCTGCACCTCTATGTCCTCTACCTCTACCTCCATGACCTCTGGCACCACCTCTAGCTGGCTGGGCAGGCTGTGGAATCCCTGGTGCCTGAACCATAGCACGAGAACTCTGATGCTGAGAGCTGCCATAAACTCAGGGGCCATATCTGACAATGTGTCGCGTGTCGCCACAAGCGTGGCAAGAACCCGGCTGCTGCGGCTGAGCACCCCTCAACCTAAGGCAAGACCTCCTGAGATGACCATACTCGCCACACAAATAACATCCACGCGACTACTGTAGCTGCGGAAACTGAGGCTGACCCTGTCGACCTGAATGACCACCTGAAGTACCATGAATGACCTGGAGAGCTGACTGAAAGGGCCTGTAAGGATGGCTTCTACCACAAGAACCTCTACCTCCTGACGAGGTACCACTGAATCTGCCTACATGACGGGGCCTCTTATCTGACCCATGACCACCTCCCTGTGGCAGAACTATCTCAACTCTACGGCCCACATTGGCCGCCTCCTGAAAAGCGATCTCACCCCCGGCCTGAGCCACTATACCCGGCTGACCTGCCACCGCTGGCTGAACCGCTGGAAGCAAACCTGCTCGAATGACACCCTCTATGAGGCCTACCAATCGGATTAGAGCGTCCTGAAGAACTGGGGTGGCAATGAACCCCTCTGGGGACCTAAACTGGGCCCACCGGAACTGCTGCGGCTGGAACCTCCTCCTCAAGCTCAACCCGAGGCTCCGCCTCTGGGGCTGCTCCTCGGGGCTAGGACTGCTGAGCAGTAGATCAGGAAGCGCGTGTTCTCGCCATCTGCGAAAGAACAGAGTAGAAATTCAATCGGTGGTTGAGAAACAGAACCGCACGACAAGAAAGATCAAATGTGAAGTTTTTCCTAACTCTGCAGCCTCTGGGGATAAATATAGACGTCTCCGTACCGATCCCTCAGAC